AAAGTTTCCAGTCGTTCAAGTTCTTTCTCTACTTTTTCTTGTAATGCATGTGGCATGTGTCTTGGTTTGATGTAAATTGGCTGGGTTTCGTCTTTTACATTAAAATGGCCCTTTTCGTTTGGCATTTTTCCAATGCCTTCTTTGAAAATGTCTTCGTATTGAATCATCAGTTTATCTAGTTCTTGAATGTTTTCATTTGTTTCACTTGAATCTAATGAATGTATGTCAGCTGCATCAAGCTGAATCTCTCTCATCCATTCTCTTCCGAATATAGAGTCTACACACTTGTTTACAATGTACAGTTTTCCAACAAAACTTTGATCTTTGTACTGAACATCTACAAAAACAACTCCTCTTGGATTGATTATTTCTCCAGTGTATGTCCTGAGTTGAACATTTGTTTTGAAAATCCTTTTTGGAGAATTTAAAAGCTTAAATGTATCATATGATACAATACTGAGAGCCGCTCCTGTATCTAATTCCATTGTCATGAGTCGTCCTTCCACTTTTACCTCGAGCATAAACTTGTCATTTGATTTTGAATGAAGTTGGTAAATTTCATGAGTGTCATCACTTGTATTTTCTACGGTTTCATCTGATTGTTTTACTTCCTTGTTTGGTTTCCTTAAGCACACTCTTGCTAAGTGACCAAAACGTTTACACGAGTTGCATTCTGCATTTTTGAACTTACATTGATGAGCTCTATGTGAATCATCACCACATCTATAGCACTTGTTCTTCAGTTTCTCAAAACGAGATTGATAATCAGAGAGTTGTATATGATTAGATTTACTTGATTTACTATCCAGGTGTTTGTTCTTGCTCGATACTTGGTGTACTTCCTCTCGATTTTCATTTGTCTTAACTATTCTGCTCTCACTTTTCGCTAGTTCCAATGTAGCTGCCTTCTCGACTTGTTTGCAATAGTTTATCTTGAAGAAGATGAAGACGTATATCAGAACTGCATTCGAAGTAGAATTTCAGATACGGATTCATTACAATGTGTACAAGTAAACTGGCATACGACACTGAGCTTTCGAAGAGCATTTGCTTAAGCTTGTACAGATTCATTACAGAGTTGAGTACGTGTTGTGAATTTGTGCTGACGTGCCCAAATACTGGGTTTTGGTTCTAGTTGAGCCATTAACAGATGAATCAATTCCTCATACGGCTTGTTATGTGGATCATCTGGTATGCAAAGATCGTAGAGCTGTTCGTGTATTTGTGGGGCGATTGATTGTAAAAATAAATCCACTTTGACCTGTGGACTTAAGTTTCCCCGTAATTTTGTGTAGTTTTCAAAGCGCCGAGTGAAGTTTTGAAAACTTTCCTCTTGTGTATATGGCTGGAAAGGAATATTAGATACATGTTGAGATATTGTAGATGCAGACATAGCAGTTTGTGTATTGTACTTTTTCTTTTCTACTTCAAGGAATGTTCGTATCTCTCAATGTATTTCTTCTAACTGCCATCGAATTTCTAATTCACTTTCTACTGAATTCGTGTGAAGTTCAATATTTGACTGTGTAGCTTCGAGGTCAGTCCATATTGCTGAAAGCTTATCGGTATAGTAAGTGCATGTATCTTGAGAATGTTCACATGTATGTAAATCATCCTTGAGTTTGTTCAAGCGTAGTTCTAGCAATTTCCTTTTCTTGAGATACAAATCCAATTCTTTTCTACTTACCATTTTACTCGTCGCCATTGTTGATTCCACTAATTTTACTAATAAAAGTTCACATTTTGTATAAGAAAATATAAAGTAAGTTTTTATTAAATCACAATCTGTAAGTAAACATAAACAATTCAACAAGTAAACAAAAGAATAATTTGAACACATGTTAGAAATAAAATGTAAATAAAACATATGTTAACAGGTATGATCAAAAGTGGATACGCTAATATGGGTACGCCAACTTCGCGGACCTTATTAGCTGAGGGAACACCATTACCATAACAATACGATACGCAGCCATCGGCCTCGGTGATCTAGTGGTTAGCGTGCCGGGCTGATATACTGAAGGTTCCAGGTTCGAATCCCGCTAGTAGCACTAACTTTTTGTCTAAGATTTTTTCATTATCAGCAAGTTTGGTTGGTTTGCCAAGTTTGCCACGTTGCCACTTCGAAGGCCAAAAATACTTAAAGTCCGCTTAAAGTTTACAGCTCTAGATTTTTAATTCATATTGTTTCGGTTTCCATTTATGTATGTTTTATTTTCAATATTTTAATAAATTTATGTTCATAAATTTAAATTTAAATCAATAAAGTGCGAATTAATAAGCTGATGTCACCTGTCTGCCATGTTATCTTATGGGACGTCTGTCACTAAACAACACCACTTGCGACGTTGCCAATTCTACCAGGCTGTTAAATGTTGCCGTGCTACAGGCCGCGTCCTGGTGGAATTGGCAACGTCGAAAGTGGTGTTGCTTAGTGACAGACGTCCCATAAGATAACATGGTAGACAGGTGACATCAGCTCATTAATTCGCACTTTATTGATTTCAATTTAAATGTGTAAACATATATCTATTAAAATATTGAAAATAATACATAAAAAATTGAAAACCGAAACAATATGAATTAAAAATCTATATCTGTGCATTTTAAGTGGAGTCAATATTGTCATAGTCCAGTAACCAATCTTTCGTAAATACACAAAAATACCATTAGCATAGATTAAACATTCTCCTCAAGGAGTTTAACATACATTAACATACTCCTTGAGGAGTAGGCTATGTTTAATCTATGCCATAGCTGCTTCCAAACAAAACAGCTGTTACAACACCACTTGCGACGTTGCCACTTCGAAGGCCGCGGCCTGGAGTTAAGAGGTGGCCGTGCCTGTAGTTAAAGGTGGCCGTGCCACCAACACATCTGCACCTAATCCCTTGCTTGTGTTCATTTTTTTGGTCATAACATATTTTTACAGTACTATTTCTCAAAAGTTCGTGTTCCAGTTCCTTATTAGCTCGAGATGCCAAAAGATGTGAATAACACAGACAAATGAAATTAAATTTGCATATAATTAGTCCGTAAAAAGGTAGAAATAGTAAGCTCTGTATTCCAAAATTACATTGACGATATGGTACCGGTAATTGATTAAATAATTTGATCTATTTACTTTCTACATGCGGCAAACGTAAATTTTGACACAAGCAGCTAATAAGTACAGCCTATAATATCAGGGAACTCTGAACATAGATTCTGTGTGTTGCCGATGGCAAAGAACGGCATTGAACCAACGATATCTTACTTTTAGCAGGCAGGTTGATAAACTCATTCGTACTCATCGGCAATATGAACACTTTTTATTTTTACACAAGTATAATCAATGACGGCCCGGATTGACGGGTATAATAGGATGCTTTTCTGAGTATCCATAACCATACTGTAAATTTCCAGGCGTCCATATTTTTTTAGATTGCTGTTTGTTTTGTTTATTATTATGATAATTTGAAATAAATCTGCCTTTCCCTGTCACTAGTCATAATGCAGCGGTGGGGCACACGGGAGGGACTAAGGCTAACATATCTTGTAGTGTCAGCGTTCGCCGCTAGAACTGCTAAGTTGAAATCATTTAAATTAACTTTTTTTTAGTTATAAAATTAACTTTTTAATTATAAAATATTGTTTTAAAATTATAAAATAAATTTTTAATTTTTAAAATTAAACTGTCATAACATAACCTAACCAACCAGACTTGCTGATAATATAAAAACTATATAAGATACAAATCTAATTAATAATTACTTATAATTTTCAATTAATTATAAAATTAATTTTAAAATGTAGTATTATAAAATTAAACTGTCATAACCTAACCTAACCAACCAAACTTGCTGATATGAAAAATTTGTTGACAAAAAGTCAGTGCTACGAGTGGGATTCGAACCCAGGACCCCCTGCACACCAATCCGAAACGCTACCAACTATGCCACGTACGCCGCTGAAATCACATCGTTTCGTAACGGTAATCGTGTTGCCTCAAGAGAAGACATTACCCACTAGAGATATGACGTCACTACACCTTTAGCCTTAGTCCCTTCCGTGTGCCCATTCCCATAACGCAGTAACCATTTAACCAAAACCCAGTCCCAGCCACAGGGTATTTACTCAGGGGAGGTATAGAAGAGGCTACGATGACAGCTGTGGGCTTCTTATTAGCTGAGGGAACGGGGGAACGCCATTACCGTAACAAAACAACAAAACGATCAGTCCAGTGGTCATCGGCCTCGGTGGTCTAATGGTTAGCGTGCCGGGCTGATATGCTGAAGGTCCCGGGTTCAAATCCCGCTCGTGGCATTAACTTTTTGTCCAAGATTTTTTATTATCAGCAAGTTTGGTTGGTTTGGTTCGGTTATGACAGTTTAATTTTATTACTAAGTCATTATAAAATTTTAGTAGAGCAATTTCTAGTTTTATTTAATAAACATAATTATTTATACTTAAACATAATTATTAGTGAACAGCGCTGTAGTAGAGAGCACTTTGGCAATGAAGGTTTACTAATCGCAAAAATAGTCCTGTTCTTAAAATAACATTATAAATGCCTCAAATTCAATTTTATTATTTTTTAATTATAAAATTAAACTATCATAACCTAACCGAACTAACCAAACTTGCTGATAAAGAAATAATATAACAAAAGTTTAGTAATCGGAAAAATAATTCTGTTTATTAAATAAAACTAGAAATTGCTCGATTAAAATTTTATAATGACTTAATAATAAAATTAAACTGTAATAACCGAACCAAACCAACCAAACTTGATGATAATAAAAAAATCTTGGACAAAAATTTATTGCAATCAGTAGGATTCGAACCCGGGACGTTCAACTTATCAGCCCGGCACGCTAACCATTAGACCACCGAGGCCGATGGCTAATGGCTACTGTCAGTTTTGTTACGGTAAATGGGTAAAGGCGTTCCCTCAGCTAATAAGAAGCCCACAGCTGTCATCGTAGCCTCTTCTATACCTCCCCTGAGTAAATACCAGCCACAGTCGTACTTAATTAACGAACGACAACAATGTAAAAGTCAACTAGGCCTAGTGTTAAGTTAAACATCGGCAAATATTTATTTTAACTTATTACTTTGGTTATGATTTATTAGGACTAGGCCTAAGTACTTAAAAAATTTAAAACGAGTTATCTTTTTATCTCATGTCAATTGTTAGAATAGGAGATCCAGTAAATAATATTTTAAAGTATTAGCTTAGGTATAACATTATTTATTTCCCAATATGTTGATTGGTAAAGCTACTGGAGTGTGTGTTAGGAATCTAGGATGGAAAGCTGGAATATTGTCTCCAAGAATTGTAAGTATCCAATAGACGCTTATTATATATAGGGCCTAACTTGCATTTATTTGTGAATCAAGAGACTATTTATTATTTACTTGGTATTGTAAGTGACTTAGCCTATTGCATTTGCTTAGTGGCCAAATAAATCATTGAATCATAAGGCTTTTTAACACATTTTTGTTTGCCTATCTAGCCTAGATATTTGTTGTTTCATTGGGGTACAGTTTCTTAACTGGACTAAGTTAGGCTAATATAGATTGAAGCTCTATTATACCTGAAATGCAACTGTCATAACCAAACCTAACCTAACTAACTAAGTTAAACTTGTTGATGATGAAAAAATCGAATGAAGGTTTAAGTTTCCAATCGAAAAAGATAAGGGCCCGGACAATGAACCCTGTGGAACCCCAGAGGGGTGGACTTCCGTGTCTGTTGGCATAAGCAACCGAATGAAAATATCGATTGATAGCCTAAGTTAACTTATATCGAATGAAACAATCGAATAATCAATATTTTCATTCCATTGTTTGTGCCAACAGATACGGAAATCTACCCCCTCAAGAGTAAGTTAAGAGATAAACTCAGATGTGTTTGCAGATGCAAATTTTACATACACACTTCGGTTTTGGGAGGTAGCTGGTTTTACCACTTTACTTATTTCTCCGTTTCCGAATCCCTGGACAAGCAGCTTCCACAAGAGGAGAGTGTGATCCACCGTGTCAAACACCTTAGAGAAGTCTAAGTACCTATGACAGCATCCAACTGACTGTTCGTGACAAAGGCTTACTTAAATTGTTGACTGAAGGAGTGTTAAGTTGGTAACAGTACCTAGACCTTCCTGTTGTAAAACTATGCTGCTGTGGACAACTTATTCTAGCCAGTTTGAGCTTGATATGGTCAAGAAAGATGTCTTCTAACATTTTGGATATATGGCAGGCAGGATTGAGATAGGCCTATACAGTAGACCCCCTCTTAACCGACCTCGTATTAACCGATAATCAAATTATCCGCCTTCGATCGTAAAATAATACAGTTTGTTTTAACCGACCTTGCTGTGAGAGCAGCTCGGTTTAACCGCCGCTTTCTAGGAATCTGGGCATTTCCGCTCCCACGCTTTGCGATGATAACTGAACCATACGCTTATCTCCACAGGATATGACTAACAATAGGCTAAGTTATTTTGTGTTGATCACAAAAAATATAGCATAGCCTAGCCTATTTTTAGTTTGCCATCATCGTTCGTAGCTCGAGCACATCTGATCTGATTTGTTATCTGTGCGGAAAATGTATAACATCATAAAGTGCGTTACGATTTTGATAACTGATTACTGATTATCTTGTCGCCGGAGTAAACAAACAACGCAACTTGTAGGGAAGGCAGGGAAGGGGGGTTAACAACTCCAAGGTCAAGATAGTTTTTGTGCCTCGAGCCTCCAGTGAGAGGCTATAAATAAACGTCCTGTTTTGTAACAAAATGGTCGCTTATAGACAAAAGGTTCTGTACTGAATTACGATGTTTTTGGAAAGCATCCATTACAGTACTAAAGTTATTAAAATAGGAATTTTATTGACTCTTGTCTAGTATTATAATATATTCCACTGAAAGTAGGCATATTTGACTTACCGTAACCGTGTTTTGTGTTTATTTGTGACTTTTCTATCAATATGAAAAAGGAGATAAGAGTAGTTTATTTTATAAATAATGCAAGTATGACTTCAAAATAATGATTATACGAGGTGTTAGCCCGTCCTACGTACGGGTGTAGTCAGTTAAAACTGTGTATAAATCAGAACAGCTAGCTTACACGTATAAAGACAAATTGTAGGCTATAGCAGCCTACAGTAGAAAGAGTAATTATCAATTGAGAAAGTGTATAGGCCAAGTCAACGATATCACCTTCCAATTCCATCGCATACCTGCCTCTTCCATAATCAATATCAACACAATTCAATTACTCATACTATACACAATTTCCAGTAGGTCTGAATAGAAACTCCCTAAAATAAAACAAAAACATCCAATAAAATTCACAGTACACATAATTATAACGTTGGCGTCCTGACATCACTAAACGAATCGTCCACACATATCCTTTATATCAATTTCACTGCATCAATTGCTAAATAAATAAGTGTAAACAAAGAAAAGTAAAAACAACAACATATAGTTTGTTTTGGTAAACAGCTGAGTCAAAAATAAAATAATATTCATTTGAACAAAAGAACTGGTCACATGTTGATGGAATTTAAAACGTAAAACACGCTAGTAAAGCTAGTGACGTAATTAATTGTCTATGTTTATTATCCATTCCGTTATCAGTTCTAATATCCTTAATAATTAAACCACTCTCATTGAATCAATGTACACCGTAATTCCCCATATTCATTTATTATTATAACTATAAAATATTCAGCGCCTCCAAACGTAACCACAACTAAACACACGCCAAACAACCTTTTAGATTTCATAAAAGGATGGTTAGTCTAATTGCAGTATCCTAGGTCAATGATGACGTTGTGCTCAATCCATATCATTCATATATGTATATCTTTGGATAAAACCCGTCTGGATTGTGGTGGTAATTTAAAATTGTATTCCTGAGATTTCTTGATCTCCTTCTTTATGACATCAATATTTCCGGGCCTAATCCAAACAAAGTTTAATCATTCAAAACATTGATTGTAAACAAACCAAGATGAATTAAAACGTGTACAAAATGGATTTTCCTACCCTTCCTAAAAAAGTTGAGCAGTATAATAATTTGTAGCCTATATCTTTTTTTAAGACTCGTGTACAGAGCCTCGACTTGTATACATTGATGGCGTTACTTTTCTCGGTGGTCTACTAATCTTACTTATTATTGAATTAGTGTGTACGGAGGGACCTCAAAATCAAATCTTAATCAAATACTTCTGTTACAAAAGAAAGCTATTAGATTAATGCTAAGTTTAAATTGGATTGAAAGTGTAAAGTATCATTTTTCTAATTTGGAAATCCTAACAGTGTTTGGAATTTATATATACGAGACAATAAAATATACTAAGCAGCACCATTTACCAAAAATACAGTTAGAACTAAGTAGGCCTACCAGTAATAGATATAATACCAGAAATGCACAATATGTTATACAAAACAGACATAATTTAGAATTTTATAAAAAAAACACAGTGTATAGAGGCCTTAGATATATAAGTTTTTTACCAAAAGATATAAAAAATGAATGTAATAGTAGGAAATTTTACTTTAAACTAAAAAAATACCTAGTAGAAAAAGCAATTTACTCCTTTGAGGAATTTTACAATTTAAAATATTGTGAATAGACAATAAGTACTCACTGACTCTATTCTTTGTACTTGTACATTCATGAATAAAGGAGATTTTGATTTGATTTGATTTGATTCCTAAAAGTCAATGACAAATCAGAGTAAATAAAATAATCTCATAGTTCTACAGAGCATTTTTATATCTAACCAGTTGTTACTTAAAAGAAAATTATATTGCACTAAAACAAACCGAAGATTACAAAGATTTATTTAAAAAATCCTTTGAACATCCTAGTATTTTACCTATGTATATTTAAATAATCTGTCATCTTCTTATCGAAGGATTGAACCATATTGAACGTATCAATGATTAGCATTACACATAGTATAAATAAGTCAACCCTTAGTATGTCTTTTAATTTTATCCAAATGCTGAATTTGTATTACAAACTCTGAATGTTTACATCTGTTATGTTAAACAAATTATATTACACCAAAAGCTAGTTTATAATCTTAGCGTCGGCTGCTAGACTTTTTAAAAACTAAAACTTAATTTCTAGAAAACTGGGACCCTAAACTAAAATTATGGCTTCAACATTCCCTAGTTCTCAAAATTATCTTTCTTTCAACACAAAAATCATGAAAATCCGTCGAGTGGTTGATTCAGAATCGTGAAATAAAAAAACACTGTTTCGTTTTAATATTATAGATAATTCCAAATGAATAGCACTTCATTATGTTATGATTTTAGGGATTGCCCGTTTTATCCGACCTTTTGAGTTATCCGACCTAGGTCCGGTCCCATTATGGTCGGTTAAGAGGGGGTCTACTGTAGTTGGTAACATCATAAACAGGTCCTGATTTGTGGATAACTTAGGAACAACATAGGCCGATTTAAATGCTTCAGGGAAGATACCAGTTCCCAGTGAAGCATTAAATATGCCGCAGATTGGTTCATCCAACAAACTGTGACAAAACAATAGGGGGAATTTTGTCTGGACCTCAGCCTTTGGTCTCATCAATCTTCTTCAATTTGTTCGAAAATTCTAGTGGGGTGTGTCTTAGCATTGAAGAGTTTTCAAGACCAATGCTAGAGGCGTGAAGGCTGGGAATGTGATCTAGTAGGTAGGCCTATAAACTGAGGAGAAGAAGCTCCTAAACAGTTCACACATCCCTTGAGGTTTATTAGACACCTTGGCGTTGAAGAACATTAATAAGGTATTGAGGAAGTGTTTTTGATAGCATTTACGTGGCTCCAGAAGAATGGAAATTTGACTGGTACGCCTTGTTTTACTCTCCTCAAATGTTGGTGGTAGTCAATATTGGTAGAGATCTTGCATGGTTGCATTTTAGAAACGAAGGTAGTTAATGGTTGTTGGATTATCTTAGTATCCTTGTACTGTTTCTAGAGAACTTTTTAGTGATCACTACATTCTTTGAAGCCGGAGAGAGAACCATCTGGGAAAAGGTGATTTTCCAACTCTTCTCATTGGTGAGTTAAGTTTCACCGCAGCAGCCAATCGCTGAGAGAATATTATCACTTGCTTCATTGGGATTAGGAGTATTTAAGTTAGAATAGAAGAGAAGTCAACTGCTAAGAGAGAGCTATAAGTATTTTGTAGAATGTATCTCCTGAGATCAGGCCTTTATTGTTAGGAGCAACCTTCTAATACAGGGTGTGGCATAAAAACCAATATATTTTCTTCAGCGCACTGTAGGCTAAATTGACATGTCGTCTGAGGGTGGTGGGG